CACAATCTGTATACAACCAAACAATCATTAAATCATATTATCTAAAATGATTGTAAACATTAAACATATTCGAAACAGATATTTTAAAATAATTTGATTCCTTAACTATTTTTTATTTTAATTTAAAACCAATCGATTTTTTTATATTTAAACTAAATTCTCAATATGTAATAAAAGAGCAATTTTTTAATTTTTAATTGTTTTTAATATTACAATTTAATTTCAATATTGAATGCATTAAATTTTAGTATAATGAATAAATCTATATTAATTTTTACAATTTGATGCAAATAAATTGTAGAATTTTATTTTCAATTATTTTATATGTTCTTTTACTTATTTTTATTTATATTAATATATCCTTTACTGAATTGATGTTACAAAACGATATTTAAAATAATAAATAATAAAAATACATTCTGGAAAAAGTAATACTTTCTTGCAAATATAAATTTGAATAAATTTGTATAAATTATATAATTATATAAATATACATGTACATAAAAATATAAAAAATATTGTATGAGATACATGATAAATATTAAAGAAACAACTATTAAATATTTAATAAATTAAGTAAATATGAATATTTTTTCTTTTCTCTCTCTGCATATTATCATTATTTTATAATTTTTACATTATTTTTTAATTTTAACAAATAAATAAAATTTTATAAATGAATAAAAAAGAATCAAAATAATATTTTCAATACTTCCTATTTTATAAAAATATATATGTCATTTATATAACATTTTAAAAAATAGTTAAAAATAATTCAAATTCAATTGCAATGCAATAAAATACTTTAATGCAATTTACTATTTCCATATATATAGTGAAAATATATTCCATTAAACATGAAAATCATTTCTAATAATCAATAGTAAAGTGAATTATATATTAATGAAAATCACATTTCGAAATAAATCAAAACTTCTATTACTTTATATTATTAGAGATAATCGCAAATAGTTAAAATTTATTATTATTTTAACTATTTTTTATCCATTATTTAATATTATATTTCCAACCAAGATCAATGAATAAAGATCAATGAAATTTATTATGAATATTAAATATAATTATATTAATATTAATATTCTTTTGCAATAAATATGATCTGTAATTATAATTAATTATTTCATTTATTTGTTATTAAAAACCACCAACTCAAAAATAACATAAATTCAATTATCTCTTCTCATCAATTACATTGAAAACACTAATTATAACAAATTATATATATCAGATGAAAGAGTTATGTTATTATGTTATAAAAAGTTAATTTTTAGAAAAGAATGAAAAATTAATGTGTAAACTTATAATTTTAATTATAAATAATTTTATTATTATTATTATTATTAATTTTATTATTTATTAACTTTATTACTATTTAAATTTAAATTTAATATTTTGAATAAAAATTATATTTATATAAAAATTTTTTCTATCTTTTTCCATAATATTTGTTTAAATATGTCACGCTTTCCTTTTATACATTTTCGATGCAGGTTAATGGTTCACCATTGGCCAATTGAATACTTTCATTGGTATGACCGGAAACTCTCAAATGATGATATTGTGTATCCATGTGTTTATTTATATGAGAAGTGAATGTAATATTGCAAAAAATATCATCAATGCAAATAATAATTTCTAAAGTTAAAATTATTTTATAATAAATTATTTTATAAGTTAGCAAATATAATCTATAAAAAATCTATAAATAATCTATAAATAATTTCAAAAACAAAAAAAATTATATATATGTTTTTTCTTTAATGCATAGATGATAATCTCTTTGAAAAATAATATTTATGAAAAAATTGAAATTTTTCTTATTTCCATAAATAAATGTTTTACTAAAATACAAGCTAAATATATCATCTATTTATAATATTAAAATATCTATTATTTATATCAGAGAAAAATAAATTGCACTATCTATCTTATAATCATCATCTAATATCTTTTTCCTGATTTTTAGTTTTTTTAATAAGCAAGTTAAATTAACGAGAATTATATTATATTATAATATATTCGCAAATTTATAAAAATATTCGCAAATAAATGAAACAATATATAGCTAAGAAACTTAGCAAAGAATTTAACCTTAAATAAATCAAATCAATGGTGAAAGGTGATGGCGTATCGTGATTCCAAGATGTAGGGCGATAAATGGCACTGGCCCAATTCATTCGGAACTGAACTTTATTTAGGAAATATTAATTTTTTATATAGAAAGATATGGGAACATTTTTTAACTTTTAATCATTTCAAAAATTAGTTCATATTAACTCAATTTTTTAATCTCGTAAGAATATGAAAGATCTTCATATAGCAGTTAATTAAAATTATATTAAAAATTTTTAATTACAAACAATATATGTATATATATTTTCAAAAAAATTATATGAATAAAAATAGAATATATATATATTATATTGATAATATACAGATTAATAATATAAATTTAAGTTTACAAAAAAAATCATGTTTTTCTTACTCTAACATTTTAGAAGAACAAAACCGCAGAATCCGCATTGAGATATTTCAAATAAAACTCTACCCAGTTTCACATGTTAAAATCGATACTGACCGAAATATTGAAGAATAATATATACGAAAAGGGTTTTTACATTAATAATATTTTGTTATTAAATTTACTAATAAAATTCTTTAAATATACATACTTTAAATATACATATTACTTTAAATACATATATTATATTATCTAATGTTAGAAAACATTTAAAACGAATATACGTAAGTTAAGTATTCAAATTTCAAGTTATTCATCAAATTTCAATTTTTCACAATGTTTTAATTTTTTTCATTTCCAATAAAATTTATTCGATATATATTCTTATTATGAATATAATTCACTCCATTTAACATGAAAATTAATCCAAATTTAAATTCATTTCAAAAATTTATATGAAATTTATGACAACACATTTTTTATTATACCTGATTAAAAATAATTCATTAATTCAGAGATAGATTTAAAAAAAGAATAAAAAGAAAAAAGAAAGGCAAAAAGAAATAAAAATAAAGAATTTTATTAGTTGACTAAAGCAGAAGATAAAGATAAAAGAAAAACCCCTAGATATGTTACACATGCACCTTAACCTTTCATAAGTACCTTTTTACCAAAAATTATATTTGGAAATCATGTTGTATATACTCGAATTTACTCACAGAAATAAAATTCCGTGTGGCCCTATGCCTGGCCTGTTGTATAGTTGTCTCAAAAACACTGGAAAAAATAAATTGTCTTTTTCATACCAAAAGTTTATTATAGATGTCATCAAACCTTGTCCAAAATCGAATCGAATTTCTATACTGCTTGATATCATAACAATTCATGATAAATGTTATATAAGATTTATAAATAATACATATGGAAGATTAAAATTGCATTATTTACACATAAAAGGTCGTTAAAATATCCTAAGCAATTCCAGTCAGCTTACTCTATATGCATATGTAAATATCAAGATTAAATTTTTTTCACAAAATATAACATCAATTCATAATTAAATCATTATATTAAAACTTTATAATTATATTAATTACTCAAATTTAAATAAGAAATAGATAAAAGAAAATAGATAAAAAAAAATCGACTTGAAAACCATTGTTTTATATTCGTATATAAATATTATTGAATAAGTATTTCTTTATGAAAGGATTTTCCATTGACGTATATTTAAAACTTAGAGTAGAGAACACATAATGGAGATTTCCTTGTATCTCCACAAAATTTTGTTGATCATGCTATAAAAATAACGTGATATTCTAAAAAACGAAATTTTAGATATGACTTGAAATAATAAAATCACCTCTTCTTATAGAGTAGAATCTCTCAAGATTGCGTGAAATCGTGGTATGCATCACAAAACTTAACACTGACACCTACGAATGACAACGTGCCGATCGCGTGACGCGAGGATACGACTTGTATCCTCGATACACAGTATGTAACAGAACTACTACACCACCTGTCACTCGGCATATTCGATAGTATGAAACATGCGTCGTGATGTCATACACGCCCCACCAAGCGCCAAACACCAATGAGCATGTAGCAGACAGAATCTTGCTTAGTTTATGTTTCTTTCAGCACCCTCTATTGTACATTAATGAAACATCAATTTTAAAGAATAAATTTTTTAACAAATTTAATTAAATTGTTAAAACTCACTGTAAAAAAATTATATATTTTTAATATATATATTTCAAGATATGTATTAATTATTGTATAGAATTATTTAATAATTATTTCATATTTTTAGGTAAATAATATTTACCTTTATATTTGAATTAAACAAATAAATGAAAATATAAAAGATAAAAAAATAAAAATTTTATTATTTTCTTTATTTTCATACAAATTTATATATTTTTATATTTTCTAAAAAATTA